ACCCCTCCGTCTACCACCTCACAGTACGGTAACTTGTTTAAGTCACCGTGATGGACCAAGTGAGGCCTTAAACAAGAGAAAGCGGTACTTGAGAACGTCCACACAGCACTATACATCTGTGGACGGATATCATCTGGTTTACGGGATCACCATAGCCCGTGCTACATGGACATTTCGTTCTGAGTAGCTAAATCTAAAACAACAACATCATCTGGTACTATTTTACGCCTGACTCTGTAACACGGGTTGGGGTTCCTCTCTCTTTCTCTACCTTCTACTCCCTCTACCCGTATTCTTACTTTTTTTTCTAAACCAAGGGACTCCAAAACTTTTAACAAAGCCAACTCCACGCCACGTGGTCCTAAGACGATTGACCGACTTAGGATTCTACACCCAGTATGACGTGACCTAAGCTCTGAACAAAACCCTAGAGTCACCTCTGCTGCCACCACCAGACCAGTAATACAAGAGCAATGATCGAGGTCTGGATCGATCACGCTAATTAATCAACCTAGGGGCTTGATCCCCACTATAAACGATGACCTTGAGTGTGGAATAAATTACACGGTAATGATAATTCCGATTCGATGTTAGAATCGGCGCCCAATGCAACTCTGCCTCGTGTGGACCACGTGACCAGGACAAGTATACACATAAAACACATGGAAACAATAAAATGCAAATTAATAACAAATTTAATTTATTAAAAGAAAACTAAAACAAAATCTAAATGTGTTCACTCCCTATCACTTTAACACTCCCTACTTGACCTGAATGGCAAATGAGAAGACTATTTCTATACATAACCATAGCAACTATACCTCTATGTTTTCCAGCTAAGATGTTGTGCTGGTCTTGGGGAGAGGTAAGATGGTTGACCTCTCCCAGCTGCTCCCGTATTCACACTGCTTTGTCCTCGTCTGGCCTAGCCCAGACTAGAACCTTGTATCCTTCCGCCTAGTCAAAGTTTTACCAAGTTACTAGCCAGGTTTAAGTTATAACAATTAAACTCTGTTGTACTTAATTGATCCAGACTGGTTGAATTATTTTACTTTAATTAGATTACACAAACATCTAACGGCAAAGCTGTTCCCGATCACAAAAATGGTTATTAAAACTTTGAGAAATATTAGACATGTCAACCCTGCTGACCTATGACCGCCGGTCACTCCGCTTTAGAAGTTAGATCTGATTCGTGACGTCACTGATGGTGACTTAAACTCAATAATTAGAATACTCTTGATATTGTATCCAGTACTATTATACAATACAATTTTAATGCAAAATGAATAAAGGCTAATTTTCTCTAAATTACTGAATACTATAGGGTGATTCATTATACGCAGCTATGAACAAAGCGTTGGTTATTTCCACCGCGAATTCCCCTGGGGGTCAGGTCACCATGCGGCTCAGCTTCCCATTCTCTTTTGTCGATAAACCACTCTGGATAATTCTTACAACAGCCTAGTTTGTTACAACTCAACAATGTGACCAAATGCCTTTCTTTAATAATAATTGTATAAATCAAATATATATCTCCTCCCAGTATAGTAATGTATGATGTGTTCAAGTCAAGGCCCTTGTGTAGGACAAATGTGTCGAGCAGCCACGCGTAATCTCAATACTACTACTACTACTACTAGTAATAATAATAATAATAATAATAATAATAATAATAATAATGTGTAACAATAGTCGTTTCATTCAAAATATATTAGTTTATGAAGGTCGTCTCAAGAACAAGCTGGTAGCCAGAGTCTCTGAAACAATCCAGACGTCTTGTAAATGTATTCAATAATGCAATACTTGTATTCAATAAATTTCAAACATGCCTGTACTCTTGCAGGTAATTGCTTAGGAGAAGTCCAGTTCTTGTCTTCAGTAATCAAGAAGCTAACAAGTGACATTAAGAAATCTGTGACTCTCTAAAAGAAAAAAAACATCGAAAATCTTATATATTATGAGTATTCAACACTAATTTGAGATTCCAGTCCACAGTCTTATCTAAAGTTGTTAGACAAAATTCAAAACTAGGCCGCGTATATGAGAAAAGCAAAGTTAATGTACTTGTTACAATACTGTACATACAGACTTTCCAACATTGAAATGTGACAGGTTTGTGTTTTATGCACAAACCTCACAGTGTATGCCCATTATTCACCTTCTCTAAACTTACCTCCCTCAATTTTTGTATTAACACATTTAGGTACACTTATGCAGCTACCCTGGACTATATGAAGGAGAGTACAAAGTGTCAAGAAGTAGCTTCGTGATGCTTAACATCTCCATCACACATGATGGTTAGTCATACACGGCCATGAGACCAGTAGTCTGCACTGGTAAACTCTCGGTGTACGGTGAGGATATCACCAATAATACGAGAGTTAATAAAGTGATTACAATTAATAATATGATCATGTACTCCAGGTTCATCATGTCGACGGGTCTGAAGGGTGTAATAACTGAGCATTCAGTGATGTAGTGTGTGAGATCATGTCTCAGTTCCTGTTCACAGTTTGCACCTGGAGTGCTCAGGATTGGGAGACCCGTCACCTGTAGCCACCTGCCACAGGTAACGGTAACCCAACCTGATCCTGGCAACCACTGTGTCGCACAGTCTGGTCGACGTTTTGTGCTGCCCATATACGGTTTCGGATCTAAGCAAATTATAGCTTTTTATTCTTATGCTTTCAGACCTTTGGGAGTCAGTGATTTCTCTCCTATTAGACCTGAGTGTTTGGAACAATACAATGTTGAGAGCAGAGTTGGGGATACCTTGGTCTAATTCAACTTGTTCTTGTTACACACTAATTTGGCTGCAATGTCTGTCATTATGATGGGTTATATTTATGTGAGAAGGTATGCATATAAAAGGGATTCTAAACCCTTTATTCTGTGCAGCGAGCAGGTTGTTTATAATGGTATTATGAGGTTCTTACTGTCGATCTTACAGCTTAAGTTGTTAAGTGATTGAAGAGCAGACTTTGAATCACAGGAAATTATTCCTCCTGAGTGTATTTTTTAAGGTGTTCTGGTAGTTAGTTGTAGTGCAGCAAGTTCTGTTTGTGTACAGCCCAGCAAGTTGTTTAATCTGACACTGATAGTGTGTGTGTGTGTAAGTATTGTTTATGTAGAACCTACAGGCTGCTGCAGTCCGGACTGTAGACGACTGGACTGAGCCACATGTATAGACAGTGATCATGAGATCTTGGGTTTTGATGGCTGAGGCAATTGTTTCAATTGTGACATATGTAAGAAGAGCAAGATTCTCATTACCTTTCTTGGTGACGGGTGTGTTTGGTACTTGGATGGCGGGGGACAGATAAAGAGGAATATCAGTGACAGGTAGATTACATTTAAAAGAAATGTGTAGCTGGATGAGATTGTAACTTTTTACTCAGCCATTTATCATACAAGGGGTGAGTTGGTACGATGGCACCAGTCAGTAGTGTACTCACCTAGTTGTGCTTGCGGGGGTTGAGCTCTGGCTCTTTGGTCAAAAAGTCAGTGTTAACAGCACTGGATAATTTGTTTCTGAGCAATACGAGAGATGTAGGGGCTCTCGTGATCTTAATGCAAAAGGTCGTGTTGACTTGCATAATTCTCTGTGGCATGTCTGGAAGTTTCAGTTCATCCCTCATGTTGATGATTCTTGTGCCTCTTGGGGCACCAAGAATCACCCTCACGTCTTCATACTAGTTTGTCCAACACAGAGGCGGGGAAGTTAATTAAGCGCAAGGCATGATAATCAACTAGAGATCTAACACACATCATGTAAAATAGTCTGGCATATTTAACATTTATACCAATATTCTTACCAGTAAATGTTTTCAGTGTTTAAGTATTTCTTTGACCCTACGATGTAGGTGGCTTATAATGTCACTGTTGAGACCTACTCCAAGGTATTTGTGCTGCCCACACGTTTAATGGCTTGATTGTTGACTCTGAGGACTAAAGAGACATTAATTCTTCTGTGGGGATGAAAAGCTCTGAATTTAGTTATAGACATAATAAGATTGTGTCCAATGCTTTTTAACAGTTAGTGAATCAAGTTGATTAGTAGGGCATTTAATTTGCTTTGTATATTGTATGCAACAATGCAAATGTTATCAGCATAACAGATGACGGTTTCGTCAGCTAGTGTGGGAACGTCAATTGTTGATTTGTGCATAGGAACTTTGAACAGTGTTGGGCTAAGTACTCCACCCTGGGCCTGGGATGTATCCAACTTAAAGAGCGCGGAATGTTTACTTTTGATCCTCCTGAAAAGGACTGAGGCGGTTCTGTTACGAAGGTCCCCCTCCCCCCCCCCAAAAAAAAAAAGTAATGTCAACAGTCTTCCCTTAACTCCAAAAGCGGCTAGTTGCTCTCTAAGATTAGTTCTCTAGACTAAACTACCAAACAAGGGGTATGATTTGTGACAACCAGATAAATGTTACCTTTACAAGAACAGAAATTTCGACGCTGTTATCCAAAATACTACTAATTAAGGAACGCATTTTGCAGCAGGCCGGCGGCCAAAACATACCGACATTTAAAAAATCATGTAAATCACTGCCTATAAAACAAAAAATAGTATTCAATAGTTATAGAATCCCAGCATTACTGTAGGTAAATGCAGTAAGCAGAAAATTATCATTATTGTTATTTCAAAATTGCATCAGTGTGTGGCACATACATGTATTTGTACATTACTAACAATGACAGTGGTAGCCTAACTACAGCTTCTGGTGGTATGAGTAGTCACTTACTGTGCTCTCTCTTGCCGGCTTGTGTTGGTGTATTCTGGAAAGACAAATTATACCACTTGACTATTTTATACAAACATATTACATAAACAAATAAGTTCCTTCAACAGCATACAAAAAATAACATACAGAAATAGGACGTTGCAGTAAAACATATATAATAACATAGCTAGCATAATCATATCTTGAAAGTAATGTATATATATATTTTCTATATATTTTTGGGGGGATGAGGATTGTTACCGAGGGCAACACGGAACAAACACATAGTGACGCCTTATTAGATAAGAAGCTGGGTATATATGGGAGACGAGATGCTCTCCAACACACCAAGGAACACTACCTACAGCCATGAAGGTCGCTCTCCTGCTTCTTCTCGCAGCCGTTGGTCAGTATTAATTACAACGTTAGGCTGTTAACGCTAAACTTTACGGTCCAAGGCCTTTTAATCAGACTGCAATTGTAAAAAGATTTAGCAGATCTGTGAGCATTTTAGAAATTCAACAAAATACATTTCTTAAACATAGCTTCTTTACAACTCAAAAAGAAAAAAAAAGTCCAACCACTTGAGCTGGACGGTAGAGCGACAGTTTTGCTTCATGCAGGTCGGCGTTCAATCCTCGACCGTCCAAGTGGTTGGGCACCACTCCTTTCAGCCGTCCCATACCAAATCCTCATCCTGATCCCTTCTTAGTGCCATATACAGTAGTCGTAATGGTTTGGCACTTTCTCTTGATATTTCTCTCTCCTTCCCTTAAAAAAAAAAAGAGGTACAACATTGGGCAACTGGATATAGATGTGATTTTTGCATTAACATAAATTTTGAAGTTCGTTTTATCCAAAATACACTAAATTATGAAACTAGTTTTGACAACATGTTGACAATGAAAACATTGAGTCTCTGTAGCCTTTAAACATTACATAAATGTATTAACACAAATTTATATCAAATAAATTTCAAACGTAATCCCCTTTTTACAGACAACTGTACAGAAACCATGTACAGCAACACCCTTTAGTCGACTGTTGTACAGGTACCCAGATAGTTTGGGCTCTGTCATATCTACATTTGGTATTGTATATGGAGTTGGTCAACACCACTTTACCTCCAAGTTCATTCAATATACTCCTTTCATTCAATACACCTCTGACACTGAACAAAATTATAGCTAATATTCATATAACTCATTCGGATATCACTTATGTCAAATGATGTCTGTCTATTCTGTCGGTCTGTTTATCTTCTCTTCCAGTTATATGAAGCTGAATTCCTTTAATTTCTCCTCATAGCTCATATCTCTCAGCTGTGAAACTGTGTTAGGCTGAGTTGGGTTAAGTTAGGTCAGATAGGGTTAGGTAACGTTTACAATGCGTACCACCTTAAATACGGTGTGACCTGTATCAGAGATATTGACGCCTCTGAACGACCACTTGTTCAGTTTTCTGAAAGGAGTTTACGAGTCATTTGTGTGTTCTTGTCTAATAATTTATAGGACAGAGCATCAGTTTCTGGGCCCCACCTTACCAACTGTCGGTTGTCTAATACAATGACTCCCAAACTTTTAATTTGTTTCATGCCATAACTGTTTTTAAAACTAAAGACTGAGGTAGCAGAACTATTTCTCATAATAGTTATTTTGACCTGCTTGCTGCCCGTATACAAAGATGTGTCCATGTGCTTGGCGCATCTCTATAATCATGCCAAACAACTTTTGAACATTAGCTGATTTGATGTATGATGAAACTATATATTCTTGGGCGATATCTATTTTTTACAACTAAGGCTAGATACATTGTAAGTTATAGTGTGGTAACCTAACAACCGTATATAAGTTATAATATGATAACCTAACAACCGTACACAATGGTTCAGGGTTCAATTCCCGGTCAGGACAAGACGTTTGGACGCTTTTCCTTACACCTGATGCTACTGTTCACCTAGCAGTAAATCGGTATCTGGGAGTAAGTCAATTGTTGTAGGTTCCTTCTTGCATAAGATTAGTCGTTGGCTTAAGGCCCCGGTAAGTATAACAGGTTTGGTGTCCCCAACAATGGGACACCATTACCTCTCACAACCACCTCATCAGCCTCCAGACTTATCAAAGAGTATAACTTCTGAGTAGTAAATTATAGTAATTGTCATTGTCATTAATAATAAAGATGAGGGGTGCCGTAGCCACTAAGACAATATAGTGACTGAGGTGTTGTGTTGCAGGAGCATACGGCCAGTCATGCTACGGCCTGTGTGGCGCCTTTGACCCAGCAAATGACTGCCAATGCAACGTTTATTGCACTGATTTCGGAGACTGTTGCAGCGACTACTCTGACGTTTGTCTGACGTGCGCTGACCGCTGTGGGGAAGAGTTCTTAGATACAAAACCTTGCCAGTGTAACGAAGCGTGTGTAGGGGCCGCGGACTGCTGCAGCGACTACGAGGAAGTGTGTGGTGAGTAGCTGCCATCTGCACTGTGATAGTATTAACACAATTACACCGGTACTGACTTCTAAATGCCTTTTACTTTCATAATTATATACATTAACTGATATAACAAGAGCAAATTCAATATGATAGGAAAGACTAAGTTCTATACAGGTCAACAGAAGTATCTAAATACTTGACGGAAATGTGAGAATCATACACCATTCATTACCCTATTTAGTATTAGTTTGTAATGTAGATATGTAAATATATAGTCCTTTACCTAATTTTAGTCCTTAAAATAATATTTTTGTATTATCACAGGAATTTTCTCAACCATAAAGTACTGAATCAATGTTCACAAAAACGTCGCCTGAGCTGGAGTTGGCGACGTACACGGTGTGTTTCCTGGCGCGGCCCGACTCTCTCTGTCCAGTACAGATGGATAACCAACAGTTCCATGTCCAGACGTGGACACTCGCCTACAACGGCAAGGTCCTCGTCGGCAGCGCTTACCCGGAAATTCAACTTGTATCATAGATAACAGATTTAAAAAATATAGTAAACTATTACATATCTTAGTTATGACATCCTTAAAGTTACAATTTGTAATGGTAATTTTCAGATATAAATAAAAACAACTTAACGGTTATTATAATGACTTAATCCTTTCATGCTAGAATAGCATTGTCGTCTTTCCCAAAATATTCACTATGAGCAATTACTAATCACGTATTGTATTGTGTGTATTGATAGAAGGCCTCCCACCACGTCCTCAGACACACCCTATTCTGTAAATCTGAACTCTTTATCTGGTCTTTTAATTGGTTGTTTCCTATATCATGGAATGTACTGGTTACTCAATGAAGTAACAGACAGAAATGAACCGTTACTCAACCTCAATCTTGAGTAACTTTGAGGTTACTCAACCTCAAGATTGTAGCACTCAACGTGTCCAGTTGCACCCGACCACAAGACGATTCAGCTGGGACACCGAGCAGACAGCCAGACTCCGGCCGCATCAGCTTTTTAGTTAATTGTTGCCGCCGAAGGCGGCTAGTTTATTGTGCACCCCATACTCATCCTGTGAGCGGTAGTGCAAAAGCATTACAGAGGGCACAAAAGGTCTTTATCAGACCTCATCTTAGATTATTACATAAACAATTTCATCTATCCTTCACACCTTATAGTTACAATGTCAGCTAGTTACAGAGAAAGTGCTATTTCAAGAGCTACATATTTACAGTAAGTCATTAGACATTAATGGTAAGTCTTATCGCTAATACATAATAGTTTGACCAATGGAGATATTACAGAGTCATAGGGGAGCTTCTGTTTATTATTAGTTCTCACAATACACTACTTGTTTCTGAATCTCATATGTCGTTCATCTACTGGGAGCGAAATATGGATACAGTGCAAGGATTTCAGGTAGTTTATCCATGGTAATAAGATAGGTTGCCATATCATACAGAGTGAGCTTAGATTTATCTCTAAATGGCTCAATTTTACTACAATCCAAGATATAGTGTTCGAGTGTGTGTCCCTGTCTTTGTCCACACACTTTACACTTTACTTCATCTAGATCCCTATACAAGCCGAACTGCCAGAGATACTTGTAGCCAAGTCTTATACGAGCTGTGACAACATCTGTTAGTCTACTGACTTTGTTACTTGCCCCATACACATGTTTTACTTCACACATTTCATTGTGATGAACAATGGACCTACTAGTTCCAGTTTGCACTGTTCTACTTTCTTCAAATCCATCCAGGAGTTCTCGTCTAATGACACTTTTAAGGGACCTATTTGATAACTCAAGATTCCGTTCAATACTGTCTTTATTTACTGCAGCCTTAGCAAGGGCGTCAACTTTGTCATGTTCCTGCAGGCCAATGTGAGAAGGAATCCACAACATTTTTATATTTACCCTCTTGCTAAGTATTCTTATATATCTATGTCTAGCTTCCTTCCACACTCTCGTCCCGTATCAAGCTCCGCGACTCCAGCCTCACTCAGCTCTCTGCTCTGGTCCAGGTTTGGTCTTAACGTCTACGACACTGCCAACAACCAACTGCTTTAACAAGACCACTAAACTCTGTGTATCTAAACAACCACATAAACGTAACGTAATCATATGTTACAAGACCAACAGGGTGAGGTAGTGGATTCTAGCACCAATCTTCTCTATATTTCTTATGTTCTTGTTCACTTGAGAAGGAAGTTGAATTGTTACATATATATCTATACTATAGGAGAGAATGTCTGTCCGTTTGTTTGTCCAAAGTTGGAGGCCAGACTAGGCTCAAGCATCTGGCGTAATCTTAGGACATACGGACAAACAAACAAACAGACATACATACAGACATACAGGGGGCCGGTGGCCGAGCAGACAGCACGCTAAACACTTGATCTTGTGGTCCTGGGTTCGATCCCGGGCGCCGGCGAGAAACAATGGGCAGAATTTCTTTCACCCTATGCCCCTGTTACCTAGCAGTAAATAGGTACCCGGGAATTAGTCAGCTGTCACGGTGCTGCTTCCTGGTGTCTGTGTGTGTGTGGAACTCTTGCTCCATTCACGAAGGCTGCTCCACCTGTATTTGGTACAACTCAATATGGTTTCCCTGACCTATTCAATATGGTAGGCTAGCCATTGTAACATCTAGACTTCAAATGAGAATAGCTATCCAGGAATACTTGATAGTAGTCCAATCTAAATTATTGTTATTCGTATCCTCGTGCTTTAGTACCCACATTCTCGCATGTTGTGTGCAAAATATGAATTATGACGGTGCTAATTCCACTTGATGCGGCAGTATGTGCGAAATACAGTGTGACCATCTTGGTTCCATTTGATGCTATGGAACAAGAACAAGAAACTGATAGGCCATGTATCTTAAACTCGGTGACTATGGTACTTTTGTCCCAGGTATCATAGTGCCTCATTCTATCAGAGCAAAGCAGTCAGTGTCTGTACTGCGGATGTTAGCGCACTTAGTTCGCAAAAAGAGAGATTATAGATTCGATTTCTGGGCATATTGGGACAACTTGTACACAATTCCACTCGAATCATGTTCATGGAAAATCATGTAGATTTAGTCTTAGAGAAGAGAAGTAGCGATAGTTCTTACCCTTCAGAAATACAATTAGCAATAATGTTAGATTCTTGTTAAGTGGGTGAAAATATATTTGTTAAACATCAGAGAGGATAAGTGGGTGAAATATACTTGCTAAACATCAAGCAGTCCCCGTGGCGCAGTGGTAAAGCACTCGCCCAGCGCTTCACGAGCGCTTTGGCCTGGGTTCGTGTCCTGGCCGGAGAGGATTGATTGGGCGCCCATCCTTAACTGTAGCCTCTGTTCACCCAGCAGTGAATGGGTACCTGGTTGTTAAACGATTTCACGGGTCGTATTCAGGGAAAAATTAGGATTAAGGACCTGCCCTAAACGATATGCTTGCTATAGCGGCTTTACAAGAATGTAAGAATTCTTGTATAAAAAAAAAAAAAGTTATGTGGGTGAAATATGTCAGTTTCCCTCTTGTTGATGAGACTAACCTGCAGCTGACCATAAATATTGACCTGAGTTTACCTGAGACACTAACACTAGTGGCCTCGACGAGGACAGGAAGCCGGGGGCTTGTCGAAGGTCCCCCATTTGCCTTGATGATCTTTTCCAGCTGTACTTGAAAACCCAACAGTTTTGGTATTAACCGCTTCGGCGGGTAGGCGGTTCCATGGGTTAATAACCCTGTGAGTTAAAAAACATCTCTTGTTCTCAGTCAGACATTGTGACTTGTTGAGCTTGAAACCATTGCTCCTTGTCTGTGTTACACTTGACTTTTTGAAGAAATTTTCCGGATCAACATCCTCCAGTTTGTTTTTAAACGTTTCAATAAGATCCGCTCTATCATGCCTGGTTTGTAGTGTTGTTAGCCCTGTGGCCTCAACCGTTCCTGATACGTGAGTTGACTTAGCTCTGGAATGATTTTTGTTGCCCGGTGTTGCACTTTCTCCAGAGCAGCTACATCTTTCTGAAGATGAGGTCTCCGTGCACGGATACAGCAATCCAAATGGGGGTGCACCAGAAATTTATTCAATTGAATCACTACCTTCTTTCCTTGAAATCGAAGGTACGCTTGATTATTCCAAGTGTTTAGTAAGTTTTTTCACTGCTGTTCCTACCTGCTGTGCAACGTTTATTGAGTGGCAAATTTTGACTCCAAGGTCCTTTTCTTCATCAATCTGTTGTAATGTTATTTATTTGGTAGTTGTGGCATGGGTTGTTACGCCTCACTTGCAGGGTCTTGCATTTGTCAATATTAAAAAGCATTTGCCAATCATCTGACCATTTGTAGAGTTACTATAGTTCTCTTTGTAAGGTTGTAACATCATTATCATTTCCCACTTTACCATAAATCTTTGTGTCATTTGCAAATTTGATGATGTGGTTTGTAATATTCTCATCTATGTCATTTATAGATATGACAAAAAGGGTTGACCCCAAAATGGACCCCTGTGGAACCCCACTTATTATATTTCTCCAATCAGATTCATTCCCCTTTAGCACCACTCTTTGTTTTCTTTGTTTTAACCTTTGTTTTATCCATTCTAGTATTCTTCCATTTATTGTATGTGCCTGTAATTTCCTTGCCAGTTTTTCGTGTGGTACCTTGTCAAAGGTTTTAGCAAAATGTATGTATACTACGTCAACCGGAAGGCCTTTGTCTGAGTAGCTGTTACTGTTTCCAAAAATGTGAGCAGGTTTGTAAGGCAGGATCTATTTTTAACAAACCCTTGTTGTGTTTATTTTACGAGATTGTTCCCTGAAAGATGGTGAATGATTCCCTCCTTGAGGATTCTCTCCATGAGCTTGTAGATTTGTGATGTTAAGTTGATTGGACGGTAGTTCTCCACTGAGGTCTTTCTCCATTTTTTTGAAAATAGGGGTGACATTTGCATATGTCCAATCTAGGGGGGACTATCCCGTGGTCCAGAGACTTTGTGAAAAGTAATTTCAGAGGAAGGCATAGTTCTTCTGCCAGTTCCTTTATGACTTTGGATTGTGTTCCATCCACACCTAGAGCGTTCAAGTCCTTTAGTTTATCAATGTTCTTGAATGAATTCCTAAATTTTTTCTCTTCACCTCCTTGAAATATTTGTGTGGGTGATGGGGATGTCATCTAATCTTTCTAGTGTGAACACTGATATAAAATATTCATTTAGTGTGTTAGCTGCTCTTTTGTCGTCTATTGTAGTTTGGTTAGTCTCATGTATTAGAGATCCTAGAGTCCTTAGTTTTGGTTTTACTTCTTATATAGGCATAGAACGACTTTGGATCTTTCTTTAT